TCAGAGTTGTTCGGGGCTTAGGGCTTCTGGCAGGCTTAGGGCTTTGTTTAGGGTCCAGGGGCTTCAGGCCTAGACGCTAAACCCCAATGTTTCGGGTTGAGGCTCATCGGCTTTATAGCTCTACTTCTACAGCCCCCCCCCCCCCCCCAACCAAATCCAATGCCCTAAGCCCTCAGTACCCCATCCCCCCCCCCCCCCCCCCCTGTCAGGAGGGATTTGGATTTCGGGCCTGAACGCTCACTGTCCCCACCCCAACGACAACCTGAAGTCATGACATCCTGCGAACCCTGAACCTCCTGGACACCCCGAAGACCATAAGCCCTCAACGCCCTGAGCATGCTGAAGCGTGAGAGGCCGACTTCTACTAGGCCGAGGGAAGAATGAGGCGGGGAACTTCGTGTTGTCTGTGCTGGCGACCGGCGAGTGTTGGCACGACTTTGCATGATAAAAAAGGGTCGGAAAAATTACTCATAATGCCCCCTTAGGGTCCCTTTATAGTTGTGCGACAATAGCCCCCAGAACCCCGGTCTAATTATGAAAGGCCCCTATCTAATTTAATGGGGGCGGTTAGGGTTTAGGGTGGAGGGGAGGGGGGTCGTCTCTGCAAGATGGTCCCTGTGTCGGGTTTCCATGAGAATCGAAGCCTATCATTGAGGGCACCCAGTCAAGGACCGCCCCTAAACCCTAAACCCTAACCCCTAAACCCCTAAACCCTAAGCCCTACACCCTGAACCCTAAACCCTAAACCCTAAACCCTAACCCCTAAACCCCTAAACCCCTAAACCCTAAACCCTAAACCCTAAACCCTAAACCCTCACAGAGGCAGTGGCCTTGGAGACTTCAACCCGGCTGAGAGCGCGACTTGCGACGCGGTGACGGCGTAGGCTTTCGGATTTTCTGGGTTCTTGTTAGCTGAATCCTAGGCAAGCTACCCTAAACCCTAAACCCTAAACCCTAAACCCTAAACCCTAAACCCTAAACCCTTAAAAGGGAACCCTTCTGAACTCCCGCCTGGCTCTCTTAAACAGGGACCTTACTCAGAGGGTCTATATCCCCAAGGGTCCCCCGAATCCTATTCCCTGCTGACGTAAGAAGGTCCCGTCGTAAGGTTACAACCCCGAAGCCCTTACACCCTAAACCCTAAACCCTAAACCCTAAACCCTAAACCCTAAAACCCCAAGCCCTAAACCCTAAACCCTAAACCCTAAACCCCAAACCTCAATAAACTCTGCATGAAGCCCTTACACTCCTAGAGCACCTGTCAGACATGAGCCTTATCAAGTCCTTAAGCCCTTAAGCCGTTAAACCCTTAAGCCCTTAAAGCCTGAATCTTGCAATCTCTTGGTAACTTTCAACAAGAACCCAGGATTTCGAGAGTTTGGGGTCTCAGGGCTGAGGGTACGCTGTGTACAGGCAGGGTGGATGTACGGCGATGATGTGCACAAGCCCTAAACCCTAAACCCTAAACCCCAAGCCCTAAACCCTAAAACCTTAAGCTTCATAGACGTCCCCAGCTCAACATGAGGGTTAAATTCCTGAAACCATAAACCCTAAACCCTAAACCCTAAACCCCAAACCCTAAACCTAAACCCTAAACTCCTGTTACGAAGTCATATTTGGGTCAGCTCTTCGACCCTAAACCCTAGACCCCAAGCCTGAAACCCTGGAATAACCCTAAACCCTAAACCCTAAACCCTGAACACGGGGTTTAGGTTTTTTTTTTTTTGCGTTTTTTGGGTTCAGGGTGCGACGGGACGCTGAAGAGGCCCCAACCCTCGCTTAGCTTCGGGTTTAGGGTTTAGGGTTTAGGGTTTAGGGTTTAGGGTTTAGGGTTTAGGGTTTAGGGTTTAGGGCTTAGGGCTTAGGGCTTAGGGCTTAGGGCTTAGGGCTTAGGGCTTAGGGCTTAGGGCTTAGGGCTCAGGGTTTAGAGTTTAGGGTTTAGGGTTTAGGGTTTAGGGCTGGGCTTCGGTTGGATCAGTCTTGCCTGGAGTAGTCTTGCCACCTTCCGACCTTTTTGTATACAACTTAGGGTTTAGGGTTTAGGGTTTAGGGTTTAGGGTTTAGGGCTTTGAGGGTTTGCCGGGTAGGCGTCAGGGGAGTCTATTCCGCTCTATAGGGGCGTTGCAGCACGACGTCGTTGCCCCGAACAACATCTCTGTTCGCCCACCTTGCAGCCGATAAACCATACAGAGCTCCTTTTGCGGCGCTCGTGAAGCTCGGTCCCTATCCGACCCTGTGTTTTCGTGGACTTGCTTAGTGAGAAGTGAAGCCCTATACGTCCTAAACATCCCTAGCTTCTGAACCCTAAGCCCTAAACATCCCTAAACCCTAAACCCTGAGCTCTGAACTCCAAACCCTAAAGAACAAATCCCAGCGTCGGACTACTGACTCCGCGAGTGCCGCCGACCATGACTCTGTTTTACCTGCGGCAGATCAAGTCTCGTCTCAGAGACCCGAAGGTCCTAAACCCTAAACCCTAAACCACAAACCCCTGTAAACCAAATCCCCAAGGCCTGAGCAGCCTACAGCCTGAGCCCTAAAAGGGTTAGATAGGTTTAGGGTTTAGGCAAACCCCTAAACCCAAAACCCTAAACCCTAGCCCTAAACCCTAAACCCCGAAGCCCCTACACCATGTAGGCCTTTGTCCTGGTTGAGGGTCTAAGGTTGTTTTGAAAACGCCCATCAGACTTGATTGTGCAGCCCTCACGCTCAAACCACCGAGCCCTTACAACCAGGAATGAGCGTCAACCTGAATTAAGGGTTCTTTAGAGTTCACGTGGTTAAGGGTTTACCCAAACCCCCCCCCCCCCCCTTCCCCCTACCTCGTCCCCTATCCTGCCCCATCTTTCTGTGAAAGAGTGTGCCTAAACCCTAAACTCAGGGCCTAGGCCGCCCCCTACATTAGGGGTTTTAGGCCAGGGCAAACCCTGGCCCTGCCCCCCCTCCCTGACCCCCCCCTGCCCCCTGGCCACCTGCCCCCCCCTGGCTGTCTCGGACCCAACGAACGTCATGAAACTGAATAAGTTTTTAGAAGTGGACTGTTGTCTGAGTTTCGGCCTAAACCCTAAAAGGAATAGGTTTGGGCGGCTTTGCCGCCTTGGACGGCGTGGGTGGGAGAAAAGTGTTAGACGGCCGTCCACAATCGGGCCAAAGCTGCTCTTCGCACCTCACGAAGCTTTCGAGCTTGTTCCGAAACCTAACCTTCACAGCATGTACGCCCTATCACAGCAAACCCTAAACCCTAAACCCTATAAACCCTAAACCCTAACGGCCTGCCCCAGTTTCGAATTTGCATGCTCCGGACCCGCGCTCAGAGGCAGTGCACCAACGAGCAAAACTCGAAACCCTGAAGGCCCTGAACCTTAAGACCCTAAGACCAGAGCCCTACTGCAACATATAAACCGCAGAATGTATCAGTTGTTCTGAAAAAACGTACTAAGGGTTCTACAAGGTCTTATAAGCACTCTATAAGGGGTTTTAGAGGGGACTGAAGAACTAGACCAGGGTTTTTGCTGTCTTGTACAACCTGTTTTGCTGGGGAACCCTAAACCCTAAACCCTAAGCCCTAAGCCCTAACCCTAAACCCTAAACCCTAAACCCTAAACCCTAAACCCTAAACCCTAAACCCTAAACCCTAAACCCTAAACCCTGCACTCACGGCCTGCTTGGAGGTTCAGGATACTTTACCCCCCCCCCCGCCCCCAATGATACCTGTACTTAAACTTGCCGTAAACGCCCCCGAAGTCCTCTAAGTAGGTTAGAAGTAGAATTGCAACTGGGGTACCCTAAACCCTAGCCCTTAACCCTAAACCCTAACCTATAATTGGGGTCCTAAGTAGCCATAAACCTCCACGGTAAGAAACGGTCAGGCTTTCCATGATGCATTTGCCTCCTGCAGTGCTTGGCACCATAAGTTACAATCTTTCCCTTAACCACCCGCCCCCCCCCCCCCCCCAAAAAAAAAAAAAAAACAAAGAAGAAAGAGCAGGATTAGGGGCCGTAAAGCCCTAAACCCTAAATCTTAAACCCTAAGCCATAAACCCCAAACCCTAAAGCCTAAACCCTAAACCCCCACCGCCAAACCCGTAAAGCTACATGAGTCGCAGGCTTTGCAGCCTTGAAGAAGACAGACATGGACCGGTGCACGTCTAAAACTCTAGACCTTATAAGTCCTAGATAAGTATGTCCTAACCAGTTAGCAGGGTTGAGGGTTTTAAGGTTTCGGCTTTAGGGTTTAGGGTTTAGGGTTTGTTGCTTAGGGTTCAGGGTTTAGGGTGACTACGAAGGGCTTCCCTTAGGGGTGCCTTTTTGGGGTCCTTATTTTAGGGGACCCTATACTTTCTGGGGTTCCCCTATGTTCGTAAAGCCCTATATATACATATGAAAAACGGTGAGCTCTCTAAACAAGGGTCCCTTCTTGTGTACCCTAAACCAGAGGGGCCGCCTTATATTGAGGACCCCAAAAGGGCATCTGTGTCACGGATGTTTGTGCGTATGTGTATCTACATACACCATGGGATATGCAGGCATGCAGCGAGTGAGAGAGAGAGAGAGAGAGAGAGCGAGAGGGAGCTCAAGGAGTTTAGGGTTTGGGTTTCAGGGTTTAGGGTTTAAAATAGGGTTGAGGGGAGAGTCAGAGGTGCAGACCCGCCTCAGATGGCATCGCATGTTTAAAACTGGCAGACCCTGTAGCCTCCGACTGTCGCATCCCCGGCGAACCCTAGACCCTAAACCCCAAACCTGAAACCCTAAACCCTAAACCCTAAACCCGTAAGATCTGTGTCGGTCCGGGAGTTCGACGCTGTCATCCCTTGTGGCTCTGACTCGAGGTCAGTTTGGGAGAGACTACCCTAGTAGTAGAGTATGTAACCTTTAACCTTTTTGGGGTAATATGATCCCCTTATAATCCAATTAGAGGTTTGATCTATTGTGTACCAGGAAATCTATCGGCTAGGAAGTATTTTGGCTGGTTCCGGCTGGATCCGTCGTGATTCAAGCTG